TTTAATGATGGATTAATGCCTGTTTATCTGCTGTTACCTGCTGCCCACCTCTTAAAATTTGAACGTGTGTAAAAATAATTTCCGTGCAACATGTCTGTCCCGTTTCTGAATTCTTGTGTCTGCGACACAGTGGCAAGAGGAGTGTATTCTTTGGGGCTGTCTATATCTTCTTAAGTTGTGGGGCTTTTTTCCTGTTATTATATGATTTAACTAGAAGTTTAATAATTTTAAAACTCCCTCCAGAGCAGCTAGGGAAGTTCCTTTAGCAGTGAAGTATGAAGTTGCTTGAAGCGCCCCACAGAACTAAACCTTGGAAGCATTTCTGAAATATTTCCCCTGCGAAGCAAGAAGGATGTCATGAAATGAAACAAAAAAGGAAACAGTATTTCAGTTGTACGGAGGGATAAAGTACATTTAATCTAAAACAGGCTACTTCAGTATTGATGGCTTATGTGTGGAGTTCAGCTATTTTAAAATAGAAATTGTATTCGTATTAACTCTACCACGTGTAGGAAGTTTTAGTCACGTATAGATGCACACATGTTATTGTACATCGTAGCTATCAAAAAGCCAGAGCACTTCAAGTTTAGGGGGGTTTGTAACTTTGGATACAGCTGTCTTAATTTCAAAACTAAAACGTTCAGCTTCTGGCAAGTTACATAGTAGCATTTCTAATGTTTTTTAAACAGCTATTAATGTAGTCAAGCTGTGTTTTTTCTTCTTCTGTGTGTAATCATCTGCTCAGTGGTGCACTCTCTAACTGGTAGCAGGAGACAGAGGAGTGGCCTGCTGTGATTGATGGGGCGAGGCCCAGCAAACTGAAAGAGTCCCATCTGGATTAGGTTTTGGGAGCAGTCAGATGTTGAGAGGGAGGTCAGTAAGCCTTGCATTAGCTCCCCCTCCTTCAACACCCCGATCATCCACACTCATGCACACATTACATTGCTCACACGCCCTCATCCATAATTGATGCTTGCTTTGGGCAGATGCTGTATGGCCTGGGACTAAAGCAGCTGCTAAGTTTATGGAGGATAAAGGGAGCAGGATGGTACAGCAGGTATTTTCACTTTTATTTTCGCTTGAAACTCTTGATTTTAGTCAAGCCAGGACATTTTTTTATAACCAGCTGCACCACTGCATGCAAGATTTCTAATACCTGTTTTGTTGCTTAAGTCTGAAGGAGGACAAACTACAGTGGTGATTATGTATCTCTGTTGTGCTCGATATATCTAACTGAGCTGTTCTTATAACCAGCAGGTTTACAGAGTAATGTTACATTTTTCTTCTTTGTTTCCGTACCCTAAGGATATGATGCAGTTTGGCTCATTTAACTACAGTATGAAAGGCTTTCTCTAAATGTGAAATATCTCTTGCCAAAGAAGCAAAAAGCACCAAACAGAAAATAGAATAAAAAAACCACACAAACAATAAACTGTTAGACTTCAAAATGCAGGCAAGCAGAAAGGTTTTCATTGAATACATTTTTATGCTGCAGATGTGTTTTTAAAAAGGAACATTGCATAAGTAATGTGTTCTGTTCTCTGTCTTTTGTGTACAAACATAACAAGCTTGCTTTATTATGTTTTGACACTTTTCATGCATTTCTTAATTATGAAATCCTTTTAGAGCAGAAGATGCTGAAAAGGCATTTTGAGATCTGAGATACTAGCAGCATTTTAAATTCTAAGCTTTTCTTCAAATGGAGTAATATATATGGAATAGGAGTGACTTCTTACCTGCATCATCAGAATCCTTTCTTTTTTTGTTCTTTAGAGTTCAACATTTAACCAGAAAGCAATAAATTTGATTTTATACACTGCCACGTAAAGCATATTTTTCAGTTGAAATGTGGTTTTCATTAAAACTCAGGCCAGAACATTTAGCAGAGCCTGACTGTCTGCCATCCTTTGTTCTTCTTTCTGTTGCCAACAACTACTTTATTAAAAACCATGCACAAAGTGAGCATTAAGGGGTCATTTAATCTCAAAGATACTTGGAACTGAGTCTGAAGGGACAACTTCTGTTTAGCCTCTCATGACTAGTTTGTATTAAGCAAAGTCTGTGTACTGTCATCCTCAGTTTTGAGATTATCGTAACACTAGGGTTCATAGCCTAATTTAGGATCAATATTTCCAGTTGCTTTTACGGCCATTTCATATTTTCAGCTTCATACATTAGACGTATCATTTCCCTTATTCATTTTAGTTCACTGTATTTAAAGGGCACAATAAAGGGCCATTTTAGGTGATTATATTTAATTCTGGTTCTTTAACATCTCTTCAAATGTATCTGACTTTTGTGTAGTCTGCGGTTTCCATCAACCACATGTGTATACAAATGTGTGTTGGTTGACACTGTGTTGTTCTTGATATAAATTCATATTCTAAACAGCAAGCTATTGGCCTGATACACATATGTAACTAGTAAAGAACATGTTTATACCTATGTACTTTTACACTACCTTGTAATACTGTATCTATCAAACTCATTGTGAATCATAAGTTCACACTAATTTTAATGGCTAGGAAAGGCTACAGTAGGCACCAATTTTAAAGAAACAAACCTCTGACCCTTTGTTTTTTACTTACTTATGGATTCTTGGTTCTAAATAATTGATACAGGCTTCAGCTTAACAAGTCTAATGAAAGAGGTAGAAGAGTCTCAGCAATGTGAAGGGGCTGGAATTGCTAGTGCAGTTTGCTATTTTATGACAAATCTGAAAAGTGAATTGTTCTGTTACTGGTAAAAAAAATTACAAAAGTTCAACCTACTTAATTAAATATTAGCTGTAATTAGCACTAAGTGTGAATGCTTTGAATATTAATTAGGGCCTCATGGAACTGCTGCCAATGTTAATGAGAAACAGTGGGGGTCTCAGCCACATCTGGTTTACGACTCAAGGTAGTATAAAAACCTTTAGATCAAACGCACCTGGACATTAGCCCTTGGTCCCTTTGTTGCCATTATTGTTCTTTTTTAACAGCTGCTGACTCTAATGTCATGTTTAGCATCTGACATGAAGGAATAGCTTAAGAACCAGCAGTAACCAACTACTGTGTTTCAAAGCCAGCACCGTGAAAATGCTTATATAGGCAGATTTTGCTGTTGTTCATTCTTACCACTTGCTGAAGTCCTTCCCGAAACAGCTGATTAAAAATTTATGGTCCCCTGCCTCCCCCACAAATTTTAATAATATGTCTTTAACATATAATAAATGTCTCTGGTGGAATCCAGTCATTGCTGGTTTTTACTTAACCTGGATTGTTTTTTTAAATAGTGAAAATATTAGGTAAAAGAAAGAAGAAAGGGACCTCGCCCTTTTAATATAAGAAGGTATAAGTATACGTTTACAAGGGTTTTTAACCTCCACTGAAATTTAAACAGGGAAAGTTTCAGTGCAGCAATAACCTTGGAATGATTGTAGATACAGGTAAATGAAACTTAGTGATTTAACCCTGTGAAGTAGGTAAATGCCACTGCTTTAAAGATGGTTGAATGAAGCAATGTAAAGTACTTGCTCAAGGCCATACGCTAAAATAGTAGTAAAGATGGGATTAAAATTAGGGAGTGTTTGATTGCTGCTATAAAGTTTTAATTTTTTAGGACACACTGAATGCCTTTTACAAAGGAAAATTTTCCCTTCTAACCCTGCCATGTACCAAGGCTTATTCGTGTGCTGTGATTTTGCAAATTCTTAAAAGCTCTTGAGTTTAGCACTGGTTCAGTTCAGAGAATTGATGTCTGAATTATTTGAAAATTGCTGGGAATGTCCTGAAATATGAAGTGCAAAAGAATATATTCTATTTTTAAAGTAGGAGATCAAGGAGTGATGAGTACAAATAAGCAAAAACCCTACAGTAGTCCTGTGCAGGTATTTGTACATGCTTGGTGGAAAAAGGACAGAGTAAAAACCTCATTAAAATTTTACTTCAATATTAATTTTTACATTACTTGTTATCTAGAGGGATAATTTTATCTTGTAAATTAGGCCACCTGAGTTTGGGATAGTCCCCATATCAATGGCCTCTAATGTTGTCTCATCTGCAGTATCGTGTTTTGGACATCTTTTATATAGGTTCTTAAAGATTGTTCCATATGTCTCCTGCCCTAGAATTATTACTATTTATTATGAGCAGAGAATTTAGTCAGAAGTCTCTAGTTGATAAATTAACATGCTTGACTGTCCTTTATTACATCAAACATAAAGCTGGATCTGTCTATAATGAGATGAGGACATTTGTTTTTAATTGTATAGGCTTATTGTAATATGGAAATGAAATGCTATTGTGTTCAAATTTAAAGCCTTTAAAGTTTTTAAATCTATTTCTTTTGATAGCCTACAACACAGAATTTTTCTTTTATGTTAACTTAAGATTTTGTACTGATGCAGATTTAGATTCAAATGTTTACAATTTTAATTGGTTTTTTTTTTTGCATTTGTTCATGCAGTTGCTTGATACAGTGTACCTCAAAGTATTTCTGAATATCTTATAGAGAATTATTTTTTTATAAATATTTTCAGCATATGGTTACGTTAACAGTATGCACACAAATCCTGTTCTGTTTGTAGGCTGCATATATTGTGTTCTGCAAATCGTAGGTCAGAATGGATCACAGACCATGGGCTAACCTTATCAGAGCTCTGTTTTGGCAGTTGTGCTCAGTAGCCTTTAGAATAAACTAGTTTTGTCCCTCTTCACTGGGTGAGTTGAGGCATTAGTTCAGGTAGACTTCACTAACCTTTCCCAGTTAAAGAATAGTCTGCAATTATCCAGAGAACAGCAGATTTGTTTACCTAATTATAACATGATTTAATAGGGTTAGAAAAATGGGTTTAATTAATTTAAGAAATTTTCTTCTCAAGAAACATTGTGTCCTTTTCAGGCCAGCATTCTTAGCAGAAATACTGTCATCACTTTCTGTGTTACGTGTGCAGGATCATCACTTCTTTTATCTCACTCCCCATTTCTTCTTCCTTTTTTCTCCTTTAATTTTTACAGGGTAATCAGGAAGCTACAGCACCTCCTGACACAATGGCACAGCCTTATGCCTCAGCCCAGTTTGCTCCACCTCAGAATGGTATCCCTGCAGAATACACAGCCCCACATCCTCATCCAGCTCCAGACTACACAGGCCAAACCACTGTTCCAGAGCACACGTTAAACATGTACCCTCCTGCTCAGACACACTCTGAACAGAGTGCAGCTGACACAAATGCACAAACTGTCTCCGGCACAGCCACAGTAAGTCAAGGTTTCAGCTATTTCTAAAGCAGTGTGTTTCGAGTTACACTTTACTGATACCATTATTGTTATGTTACACTTAGTAGTCTTGCGCTTCACTTGTGTTAGGATTACTCACATTTTCAAGGCTGAAAGTCTGTCAGAGTCTTGGAGAGTATATTTCTGCTGCTTTTGGAGCCTCTTAGTAAGTGTGGGGGATTTGTAGAATCTGTAGTTTCCTTTTCTACAGTGTTAGACAGACAAAGTGATTAATCGCAAGCCCATGAATCATATAATTAAGTTTGACTAAGTCCAGTGTGGAAAAATATTGCAAAAGAGTGTTTGTAAACATTCATTTGGGAGGGGGTAGGGATGAACAAAAAAACAAAGCCAACAGGCTAATTTTGTTGTTTTTAATGATCTCTGTATTTTTGACACTTCTGAGTAGTGTTTGATAGAAGTGTTCATGGAATGATCCTGTATTGACATTACTTGGGGAACTGTGTGAATGGGCATTGTGACGAACATGTCTGTAATACTGTATTTTCTAGAGAGCTTGTTTGTGCATCCATTGCCAACGTTGTGTGTGGATCTGTGCTCAACAGAGCAGAAATGATAGACTTTCCTTCTATTTGATTTATATATGAAGTTCTGAAGTGCCGTGAATTATGCATGAGACTCCTTGGATGTTCCCACCTTGTAATTTAACTCACAAATTTCACACATCGAAAGTTTAGTGCTTCTGTCTTAATTCAAGATTGTGACCCAATATATCCAGTGCCAGCAGCGGGCAGATTTCTGAGCCACCAGTCACCTGCAGCACATGTGTAGGATCTAGTGCGGAACAGACAGCACACTGCAATTTGGGCATGCTCTTGAAACATCTCCACTAGCCGCTGTCATCCTTGCCACAACCATGCTCCATACCTCATCTTACCTCCCTTTCCTCCCCTGGCATGTATCCACCCTGAAAAGTTTCATGGATTACGGCAAGAGGAAAAGAATAGCGTGTTCCCTTAAATGAGTTGTTCTGAAGATTTATGTTTATTGCCATGTCATTAATTTCTTTATATGGGTATGAGCAAGAAAGAAAAGCAATAGCAAAAGCACAAAAGAATATTTCTTGCTATTATCATGGAGATGACCTTGTGAATTAATTACACAGTTTTGTCAGGTATGCAGTAAAATGTTTCAGTCCTTTTATTTTTGACTTGGTAACTTATTGCCCTGATTGGCCCTTTGATCTAGTATTTTGAGAAAGTTTAGGTTGAAGAGCATTGAATTTACCTATATCCCATAGTATTCTTTGGAGCTCTACAGTGTCCCCTCTTATTCATCTAATTCTCTTTGATTAGAGACAAATAAGAACTTTCTGGTTCTTTCCAGCTTTTTAAATTTTCTTCCATAATAATTTTTGATTGTTGTCAAACTCTTGTCATGTGCCACTTTATAGCAGGAATACTAAGCTGAATAGGTACTCCAGAAGAGATCAGATATTGACTAAAATATAGTCTGTCCTACTGTCCCTGCCACATTCTTTTTATATTCTACTGTTTTGCTTACTCTTATGACCACTGCTGCACACGGAACACTCCACTGTGATGCCTAGCTCAGCCTTTTCATATTTTGAGGCTCTTGATCTCTTTGACATTCAGTTCTGAAGTAAAGGACTATCAGTGCTAAAATCAATGGTAAAACACCTCTCGATGCAAGTGGGCCGGGAGCTCTGCCCTCATCATTTATTGTTTTCAGTTTATTGTGTTTCCTCACCCCTTCTTCATTTTTTCAGGCTAAGGAAGAGTTAGTGTCTGTCAGAACAGTCAGGTATGCATCTTTCCAACATCTGCCACGGCAAAGGCTGATGGAAAGAATAATTTGGCTTGTCTGCAATGCCCTTATCTTCTTAAAGTGCTCTATTCGTTCTCAGCGCTAGAAAATCCAGTGATTCCCTTGAAAGTTTCCTGCTTCTCATATACTAATAGGCATTATTGTTATTTGGTTTTGTATCCTTTGCTATCTGTGCTCTTACTTCCTTTTTGCCTTCCTAATATCCAACTTATATTTTACCTGTCATACACTTTCTCCCTTCTGGTTCCACTTGGAGAAAATATCCATTCTCTGAGGGATAACGCTTCAATTCCACTAACCTTTTGTCTTTGGGGAATACAGTATAGTTATTTGCTCTTTTTATCATGGATCCTTTTCTTGCCTTCCTGTTTCCTTTCTCACAGAGGAATGTGCATAACTTTTTGAAGTAGCTCCCATGCTGTTTATAAAGAATTAGATTTCCTTACTTTTGACTTTAGGGTATTTTTGAGAAAGTTTTGTGGGGTTTTTTTGTTGTTGGTTGGTTGGGTTTTGTGTGTGTGAGGTTTTTTTTTTAGATATATTTTTCTAAATTGCATTGCTATATTAAAAGTTGTGGATACTATCCCTCCCTGGAGAACAAGGAATTGAAAATGCAAGTTTACAAAAAGTGTGTATCTATGGATCTACATCAAAGTAGCCTTGACATTTAATGTATTAATCATCACTCAGTTTTACAACATTACAGTCAAATATTGTTTGCACAATTTGCCTATGGATACCTAGATCTAAAATCTGTTCTGCCTTCTCGTTAGCATTGCACTTAACTCGCTGTAGAAACATTATAAATAGGTATATGCAGATGGATCCCAGGCAGATTTGACATAGGCTTCGTAATATTATGAGGGTCCAGCTGTGTGCTTCTCTCTGGAGTATTAATAATATAAGTTTTTATTATGAAAGAGAGCTTCAATAGCACTGTGTCAACACTGTAACTCCATGTGGTCTTTATTGTTGAAGGAAAAAAAAAAAGTTTCTTTCCAGTTCCTAGCTAGCTTTCTGAATAGTTTGTTTCAAGTCTTAAAGAATTTTAAGTAGAATTGATGGGGGGACATAGTGGCATTTGTTTGGTAGGTTCAACAATTTTACATAATTTCCTTTCAGTAAGCTGTATTATATGCATTTAAAAGACAAATAATCAATTCGTCAATCATTCACAAAAGAATACTGCTGTGATTAATGTAGATTAGACAAGGTATTGGAGGCAAGACCAGTTTTTTAATTTTCTTAGTCATTTGTGTATTTATGTACATTTGAAGCTGGATATACCTCTAAAAATGGACTTAAAATTTTGAAATATGTCAGTATCCCCATTTTCTGCAAATTGAACAAGATTCCAATCCTCAGGTCTATTACAGGTTTGCAATTTTGTGTACAATACAGTTCTATTAATAAAGAAAGTCTGTAGACTTGATTCCTTATGAATGGAATTTATAGGCTCTTGCAAATGTTGTCTTTGGTCATTCAGAGCCTTTTAAAATTGGTGTAAAGTACTACCAAGGCAAAATGACAGTTTTTTAAACTGACTTGTGTGGGTCATGAATGAATACAGCCTTACAGAGTACATGCACTATTTTCTATATGCCATGAAAGCTGACAAATCTGATCAGAAGCGAATGTATATTTTTCCTTTGACCAAAACTATTTTGTTGAGAAGTTAATATAAAAGGGTCCTTTTTTTCCTCTTGCGTTTTAATTGTTATAAAAAAAAATTCAAGAACATTTCTTTGAGCTTCTCCAGGGAGCATGTATAGTATCTGAACCTAATGCTCTGGGTGTCTTTTGTCATTTGTAGCACTGATTTGTAAATGGCATCTGCTGGCTGAGCATCTACCCTGTCAAAACCCCTGCCATTTTCCTTGCATTTTCCTCTCAGTACAATTCCAAACTTCATTTCAGTTGAGACAGACCATTTTCTTACTTGCTTTTGCTCTAATTGACTAACAATTGCAATTAAGGAGCACAGAACATTATGGTCTTGTTAAGATTTCACTTTTCTGCATGCTATGCTTGACAAATTCAAATATAATTTAATGGGCAGTGAAGATGTGGGATTAGAAATACTCTTGTACTTCCAAAAGGTCTATTTCCTAGTGAAAATTTTTAATCTATTGTCTTGATAAAACAGTGTAAAACAGTATTCTACTAGTGTAAGTTTGGTCATAAGAGGTGCTTAGTTTGTACATATAGAGATTGTGAGCTTTTTATTTTGGTGTAAAGGATGAGAGGGAAGCAAATGTTTAAAGACAGGATGATATAGCTGAAATAATATGAAATCTTCTGTAGCTAAAAAACTACTGTCAAAAGTTACTTGAGTCTTCTCTGAATAATACAGTTTGCATCTTTTCGGATCAATATGTTTGTTTAACTGTAATCAAGGAAGTAGTCCATCTGAGTATATGCATAATCAATACTCATCTAGTAGTGGGTTATTTGAGTGCTAGTAGACCTTTGGAGTTGCACAGCATCAAGCATGCTTTTAGTCATTAACAAAAATAGCAAATTACTTCTTTCAGGAGGGATGGATCAATGATAAGTGTGTTCCAGAGTTATGGTACAAGTAATATGTCTGATGATTTTGCAGAGTGGGTTTGAGTGTTATGTTAAATAGTTCTATATTTTAAAGGGTTTTTCAGTAAAACGTTTGATCGTTTCATGAAATATGAAATCGCCTTTTACCTGTGCACACACGTATACGCAAACATACGTATATCGTTCTGAGATTAAAACTTGTTCAGTATTTGCCTGTGGTTTTTATGCATGACTTCTGTTGATGTCAGTGAGAGATAAGTATGTAAGTACAAGGGGCATTGAGTGGGAGTGTGTAAGAAAGCAGGTAATAGTAAAGTAAATGCTGTTTCTCTAGTGTTTCCTATTCTAAGTTTATTATACTAATAATGGGAGTAAATATCATGGTCTGGTAAAAACTGAGTTTGTAATAGTGCTCTGTGTTTTACGGATGTGTGTCTATATAAGTATTCTGCTTTAAAGTTAATTCTGCTTTTGCATTAGAGAGAACTTGAGGTCATTGTGCAGTCTTTCTGCCTCGGACTGTGACTTCACCAGTTTTCCCAAACTGAAAACCCTTGATGAGTTGTGTGCTTGGATAGGAGTCCTTGAGGGAAACTGCAAATTACTTGGAGGAGTCTTGGTGA